TGCTTACTTCTGTGAGTAGCTGGTTGGATGGATATATAATAAATTAATAAAACCACTTTCTTTCTTTGAATTTCTTAGGTTTATTCTGTGAGCAGCTGAAATGATCGTGGCCTGGTAAATGTTCAATTCAGATAAATTTAAAATTCATTTGATGGAAATACCAGTAGAAATTTACTATTCTTTTAGCTTAAATTTCCAACCTGAGTGAATGGAAGAAATCAAGATGGTTCATTAGAAACTCAAACATCCACCAAGATCTCAAATTCCCGACTCTCTCTCTCTCAGTATATTTACAAACTTAATGCAGAGTCTTATGACAAGGCAATCAACTGCAATACAGCTAACTTCAATGAAATATTTAAATTTGAAAACTTTAAAATAGACAAAAACTTTAGACCAATAGCTGCACACTTCACTTTTGACGTCACACATACAGAAACTATCAACATTAGTAAAAATCTCCAAGTCTAACATCAATAGTTCATAGCAATAGTTCAAAACAACAATAGATTACAACCTCAACTGCCTCAACTACAATACCAGACTTGAAATCTGAACCTGCTACCTCATGTTGGCTTTAAATTCACAGCTATCTTTACTACAGCCTTGAAATCGGAACCTGCTATCTCATGTGGACAATAAATTCATCTTATTCCATAGCCTTGAAATCCGAACCTGCTCCCTCATATGGACAATAAATACACAGCTATCTTTACTATAGCAAGTTGCTTAGAATTATTTTCACTTTCTTTTCAGTTAAACAAGCAAGGGTGCTTGCTCTACAATATCAGTCATGTTTTTATGAAGGTATATTTTTACACTGGGTCCTTTTTGGGTGGGATGGAACAGCTGATTACAAAAGTTTGATTGCTTCTGTCCTTAGCAGAAACGCCTGAGAAATTTTCTACTCAGATAAAGTGAAAATTTGTTTATTGGAAACTACCAGTAAAATTTTATTATTTTTTTATTTATGTAAATTTCATCTGGTAAATGTTCAATATAGTTAAATTAATTAATGTTATTCTTATATTGTAAGTTTCCACACTGATTAGATGTAAGAATTGCTTCTAGGAGAAGCTAAAACTATCAACACTAATTCAGTTAAATTAACAATTCATTTTGATGAAAACTACCAGTAAAAGTTTTACGTAACAGGCTTTTAATGAAGTTTAACTTCTATCCTTGGCGGGTGGTTTTAGATAGGCGGTTGCATCGATGGAATTTCTTAGCTAGCTTCTGTTAGCAGCTGAAACGATCATCACCTAGTAAACGTGCAATTCAGATAATTGAAAATTTCTTTGATTGAAACTACCAGTAAAAAAATTAAATTTTAAACGATATAATTTCCACTTTAAAATTATAATGGGCGGGTAGACTAAAAAATTTTCTACACTTGCTAGTATGAACAGCTGAAATGATCATCGCCTGGTATATGTTCATTTCAGGTAGGGAGGGGAGACTGGATTGAAGGTTTTTCTTTCTTCTATTCTGGTAGTTTCCATCAAATGAATTTTAAATTTATCAGTATTGACTGAAGTACTTTCTTTGCTAGCTTCTGTAAGCAGCTGAAACGATTATCATCTGATAAAAATTCAATTCTGATAAATTGAATATTTTATTGATGGAATCTACCAGTATAGGTTTATTAAATTTTTTATTAAGTTAAATTTCCGCCCTTAATAAGTTGGTGGATGGCTAATTTGAATTAATGGACCTGCTTGCCAATTTTACCAGCCGAGACTATTATAGCCGGGTAAACGCACAATTCAGATTAATTGAAAGTTCATTTGACATAAACTACCAGTTAAAATTTAATGCATTTCTTATTGAAGCTAATTTTCACCCTGTTTGTATGGTTATGCTGATAGACATGTTTGGTTAATGTTTTGCGCATGGCTTCTTTCTCTTCAAACACTGGATCTAACCTTTCGGCCAGTGCATTTATCAGGTAATGATTGCTTTACCGTCCACCAACCCCGACCATCCACCTTAGATCGAAATTTTCACTTCATAAACAAATTTATAAATTTTTACCGGTAATTTCCATCAAATAGAATTAATTTACTTTATTGATTGATTTACCAGCCGATGCTCGTTTCACGTTGTAAGAAACTGGCCACTAGATGGCACACTAACTTTCTTTTAGGTTTCGGTTTGTTTCCAAAGAGAGTGGAGTCGAGATTATAAAAGATGATGATGGCGGTATTTTGATAAATGTCTTGGTTAAATTTTTTTCTGTGATGTGTCGTTATTTATGTCTGTTTTGTGCATCTCTAACTTGTGAATAAATTATTTAAGATGCAAGCTACTAGTCTTTTTTGTGAAAGTTTAAAAGTCTTTACAACGTGCTCACAGAAGAAATTCCCCTGCTTGCTTCCTTGAGCAGCTTAAAAGATCATCGCCTGGTAATTGTTAAATTCAAAATTGATATGATGGGAACTACCAGTAAAAGTTTTTGACCTTGCAGTTATTTTATGAAGGTAAATTTCCACCAAGGGTTTGTAGAGGAGCGATTGGATGAATTATATACTTTATTACTAAATATTCTTCTTTTCTTATACTATCTGAACTTACTTCAGTGAGCTGCTGAAATAATCATGGGATTGTAAATGTATTTAATTCATTTAAATTAGAATTTTATTTAGTAGAAATTACCAGTAGAAGTTTAGTATTTTTTAAACCAAAATTTTCATTCGGCCGCGGTGACCAAACAGCTAAATAATAAACAGAGATGCCAACTGCTCCGGACACGCCAAAATAATTAAAATAACGGTAAATGACTACAAAGTAGATTTTCAAATATTTGACTATTTTTGCTTGCTTTTTAAAAGGAACAGCTTGACTAAAGAACCATAAAGTGGTGAATTATCTACGAATTTTTTAGAAATAGTGGTGGATAAAAATCTACTGAATTGAATTTATTAAACCAAATCACAATTGGTAAACTACCACATTAAAATATATATTTGCTGTCCGGAGCAAGTTGGCATCTCTGAATAAAGGTAATTCTGTTATCTTCTTTCTTTGAGCTGCTGAGACGATCATTGCCTTGTAGATGTTCCGTTCACATAAATTATGGAAACTACCAATAAAAGTATATTTTTTATAAGGTATATTTTCCCAATGGGTGCGTGGACGTTTGAATGGAAGGAATGCGGCGTGCTTTCTTGAGCAGCTGAAACAGTCATCCCCTCGTAAATGTTCAATTGAGTTAAATTGAAAAACCATTTAACGGAAACTACTTGTATTATTAATTTTTTAAGGTAAATTTCCATTCCTGGTGAGTAGGTGGAGGTTTAGTTGGATTGATAGACTTTTTTTGCTTACCTCTTTGAGCAACTGAAACGATCATTGCCAGGTAAACGTTCAATTCAGATAAATAGAAAGTTCGCTTGGCATAAACTACCAGTAAAAATTCATTGCATTTTTTTAAGTAAGTGAATTTCCATCCCGGTTATGCTGATAGCATACCTGTCATCTTTCACTCTTTCCGAGAATGGATTTTCAGAGTGGTTGTAATACAATTAAGGAAATCTGACTCAAAAATATATTTATCTTTTGATCCCATTGAAAATCGCTTGCGCAAGGATTATTATACTTTTATATATTTATTGTAATTATTTATATGTAGTGGTGGTCAAACTCATTTATAATTTTCATTATAATTCAAAAAGTTAATTGGAATAACATGAGTATTGCTCCCACTTTAAATAAGAAAATAAAATCTTCCGGAAAATCCGGAAGAGTTGGCAGGTATGTAGATAGACATAATTATTTAATAAAGATTTATATTAATATTCTTTCTTTGCAAGCAGATAGAACGATCTTGTGAAGGATAAAACTTGCTAAATGTGATGCATGGCTTCTTTCTCTTCAAACAGTGGATCTAACTCTTTGCGAAGTGCATTTACCAAGCTATGAGTGCTTCACCGTTTACCACCGCACAGCTACCAACTTTTTATCATTTCAATGATGATTTTCCCCAGTGGTAGCAAACTGAAATTAAAATTACAATTTTAAGCAGAAGCATTTGCTGTATTTTGAACAAGCTTCTGCGGATTACTGGAGCAGTATTACATATTAATATATATGCTTAATTTTTTTAAAAATAGTGGCGGATTAAAAATATTATAAATTAAGTCTATAAATGCAAGGAAAATATAGAAAGCGTACATTTTACTACCACTTTAAATATAGAAATAAAATTTTACGCCAAATGCGTAAAAGTTGGCAGGTATGCCACCGCCATCTGCTCTAGATCGAAAATTTTAGTTCAAAAACAAATTGATAAATTTTTACTGGTAATTAACAACAAATGAATTTTCGGTTTACCTAAACTGAACATTTTCCAGGTGATGTTCGTTTCAGCTGTTAACAGAAGCAAGTAAAGCAAAAGAGAAAAAAAAATTACACTACAGGTAAAATGGAAATATATATGATGAAAATTATCCGTATTGGTTTATTAATTCTTTTTATTGAGGGAAATTTTAACCTGAGGGTGTTTGGAGGGAAGGACTTTCATCGCTTTGTTTCTGGTAGTTGCCATGAAATGAATTTTCAATTTATCGGAATTGACTGAATCGCTCTTTGCCAGCTCCTGAGGGCAGCTGAAACTGTCATCGCGTAGTAAATATTCAATTCAGATAAAATGAAAATTCATTTGATGGAAACTAAAAATAATAATTTAAAAATTTTTTATGCCCCTAAATCTCTACCCTGGGTGCGAGTGTAGGGCCGGCAGGGCTGATAATAAGATTAATTATAAAGGTACTTTCTTTCTCGCACTTTCTATGCTTACTTCTGCAACCAGCTGACATAATCATGGCCTGATAAATGTTCAATTCAGATAAGTTGAAAATTCAGTCGATGGAAATTACCAGTAAAGTTTGAAAGGGCTTTTCTTGCTTCTTTCTGTGAAATGATTGGTAAATGCACCTGCTGTTTCATCTAGATACAAATTCTGGAATTATCCTGGGTTCAGGAAATAAGACACTCTTAAATATCAAAAGAAAACATTTATTTATACAAAAAACAGATTCCACATGTCCACATGCCCAGCGTATTCGCATTAAATACATCTGCTTGAAAGAGAATACGTAAAGAACAAATATCAAATCCACGTTCGCAGCATTTATATTTATATGTAAAATCGGGACCACTTCAGTTCGCTTCACCAGAAGTAATGATAGACACAGCAGCAACGCCACAGGTGTCCCCAACGCAGTTTGGAAGACAGGCACACGGAAAATCTCACGTGGTTAATTTTTATCTCAGAGAGCTGAAATGCCGGCTTTAATCTGTCTATACTAACAGTCTGCTTGCGAGCTCCAATTTGTATGGTGAAGTTCTTTGAAGACTTATCTAGAACTAGATGTGGTCAGCTATAGGGATCTCTTTAATCTATCCTGTCGAAGAAAAACATGACTACAGTTATTAAGTTTTTATAAACAAAAAAGTTTTTCCTGTAATGTTGCGCAGTAGGAATAGGTCGCAAAGACCTAACTCCATTTTGCAAAAATGGAAGAAACTCATTGTTAATTAAATTTCTAGAGTTAGGAAAAATTCTCCAGGAAAATTTATAGGTGCACCATACACCATCTCAGTAACAGAACACTGCAAATGAACACTGAAGCTCGAATGCCCAGTAATATTGAAGGCAAAACTAAAGTCTACCTATCTGTTGAATGAGCACGAATTACACTCTTCAATTGCCTGTGCAATCTCTCTACCATCCCATTTGACTGGGGATGATAAGGTGTGATAGGTACAAGTTTAATACCAACCAAGACGGCTGGCAAATTTTCTGAATGAATTACTCTCAAATTACCTTCCCTGGCCCGTTGAGCCTCTCAGGAACACCAAATCTTGCGATCCAGTTGGAAAAAAATTCAAAAGCAACTGTCTCGTGCTTTAATGTCTCGTAGAGGTACAACTGCAGGCCATCGGGAAAACTGGTCCACACCAGTTAAGCAATAAATATAACCTCTAGAATGAAGGAGTGGTCCCACCATATCAATATGAATATGATTGAATCCCTGACGAGGTAAGGAATATGTACCACAACCACTTACCACACGTCGTTGCACATAACTTTTTTCACATGCTACTCAGCATCGAGACCATTTAGTAGCTTTCTTCTTGTAGTTAGGCCACACGAAACGTTCTCCAATGAACTTGACAGTAGCTTTTACACCAGGGTGGGATAATTCATGAAAAGATTTTATAACGAAAGTCTGGAGGAACGTATGGCCATTTTCCCTCAGGAATACAGGGTTTCCATACCGGGAACAAAATTCAATTTTAATGATTTATTACAAGAGCTTAAAGCAAGAAGTTCCTTATCAATCAATTGAGCTTAAGCAAACTCGATCCCTGTCTGATCGATTATAATCGATCAGACAAAGTCTTTCTATCTCCGAAACTCTGGATAAACCATCTGCCACAACGTTAAGTGAACCCACTATATTACTCACATCAGTCGAATACTGGATTCAGTCAAGATTTCGAATTTGTGGTGGAGAACATTTCTCATGCCTTTGCGTAAAATCGTAAATAAAGGTTTATGATCGGTATAAATTAAAAACTCGCGACCTTCCAACAGGTAAGAAAAATGCCTAACAGACGCTTAAATAGTCAATAATCTACGATCATACACACTATAACGCTGTTCACTTGAAGTAAGCTTACGCAAAAAAAATGCCAAGGATTTAAACTCGTCACACTCTTTCTGGCTTAGAACCGATCCAATTTCCCGATCTGAAGAATTGCAAGTCAAAGATAACTCCGCACTTTGAGATGGATGCACTAACATAGCTGATTCACTTAAACTAACCTCGCATTTTTCAAAAGCAATCTTTACTTCCTCTGTCAAAATTATAGGCCGGCTATAGTTTTTCTTAGCCTCTTTAGGATAATCAGACAGTATTGATTGCTCATGTTCAGCGTTTCTCAAAGCCCTTCGATAAAAATTAAAAGGCTAAAAATCCCCTTGACAGTTTTAGGTTGTTGATATTCATTTATTGCTTTAACTTGGTCTTGTAGCGGTTGAATTACTTTTTCAGAAATCAAATTTCCCAAGAAATTAACAGATAATTGTCCAAAAACGCATTTTTTCTGTATTAAAACAAGTCCGCATTTTTGAAATCTACGAAAAATTTCTTCCAAATGTTTTAAATGCTTATTTTCATTTTCAGATGCTACAAGTACATCGTCGAGATAAGGAAAATAAAAATCCAAATTTCCAACAATCTCATACATAAATCTCTGAAATATTTGCTTGGCATTACAAAATAATTCGAACAATCCAAACGGAGTTATTGCAGCTGTTTTTGGTACCTCCTCAGCAGCAACACTGGAAACTGATGAGAAGCTATAACAAAACCTACAGACGAAAATATCTTTATTATTAAGTCTACTGGCAAATTCATATACATGAGGAATTGAAAATCTATGAGGAATGGTTTGAGAATTTAACCGTCTATAATCTCGGCATGGCCTCTAATCATTGTTTTTTTTTTCGGAGGTGGGTCAGAACATGCACTTTCGACGGTCTACACAAACCCTGGGATAACATATGCTGAAATTGTCGGTTTGCAGCTTGAAACTTTTGCGGAGTTAATCTTTGAGCTTCAGAATAAACAGACGCACCACAAGTTTCAATATGCTCAGTGTGTTATCTGAATTGGTGATTTAGGTTGACTTGGTTTGGTAATATCACCAATTTTTTTTTTAGCAATTTTTCACAAGGAGAGTTATCCTGAACAGTGAAAATACTTAAAGACGGTACCGGTGCCAGTAAGCAACATTTTCCGCTTTACACACACCTATAAACAGTAATGCTAAAGAAAATTTACAACTATTATAGGTTTCAAAATAGCTGCAATGAAAAGCGACCACTGAAATTTATGTTTAAATCCCAAATCCAAAGTAACCAATTTATTACCAAAAGTTTTAATTTTAGTTCCATTTGCTGCATACAGAAAAAATTAGAAGTTTGAACTATTTAACTTTTTACCATAGGTTAGATACTAGCAGCAGAAGCAGCGTCAACCAAATATTTATGATCTGTAATTTTATCAAAAATAAATAGGTACTTTACCAAAGCTTTTTCTACCGTCACCTTTGAAACGGAAAGTTTATTTAGTTTTCCGACCCAAAAGTGCATGGTTGTTGACATTTCTTGGCTTTATTTCCAAATTTTAAATGCCACCAGCAATACTTCCGATTTGTAGAATTTCGAACTTTCCGCGATAAGATCTATGTCGAATTTCTGATTTTTGAAAGTCTCTGCTCAATTGCTGCTAAGCGCTTTTCAGAGTATTTTTAAAAACCTTGCGATTCGACATCAAATGAAACCGAAGCGACAGCATCCTCGTTAGAAATCTCAAAAACACAATCATCCACTTAAGCTAAAGATTGCACGTTATCTATATTGATTGATAAAATTTGCTGAATTTTCAAAGGCAAGCGTTGCAACCACAATTTTTTCAAAACCTCAGATGAATTTATCTGCAGCTAAACTTTGCTTCTCATAAAGAAGTTTCGAGGGTTTTTTATCGCCTAGCCAAATATCTGAGGGCAATTTTTTTTTTAAACGCAACAATTCAGAATCAGTATTTTGAGCAATTAGCCTAGATTTTATTTGAGCATAAGCTTCAGTATCAGGTTTATTAAGTACAATATCTGAAACGAATGTTAAATTATCACTATCTAAGGATGAAACAACATAATAAAATTTATTGGAATCAACTGTAATGTTGGCTTATTTAAATTTGGATTCAAGCTTAGCGAACCATAATGCAGGCTTGTCGTTCATTATTCGCAAATAAAGTTTCCCCTTCAATTATAGTAGTACTGCACAATTTAGGAGAAAAGTCTACTTACGCATGAAATATATTACAAATTTTATACTATAAACTAGTAATCAATATAGCTTAAATATTTCAAAATGCAACAATTCTAAATATACTACAGAAATTTTTTAAGTACCTATAACAATGAAAATTTCTGTATAAAATTCAAAATAGCTCATTTCATTTTAAATATTCAGTCTAAATCTAACATTCGGCATCTTGACCGAACCTAAAAGTTACGATACAAGAAATGCTAAACTCACCGGGTCACATCTAGACACAAATTCTGGAATTATCCTGGGTTCAGGAAATAAGACTCTTGTAAATATCCAAAGAAAACATTTATTTACGCAAAACACAAGAGATTTACACAAAACACGGCAAAACACACCCCCAACGTGTTCTCGTTAAATACCTCTGCTTGAAAAATAATACGTATAGTACAAATATCAAATCCACTACACAGACGTGTAGTGGATGTGACGTGTTGAATCATCGAAGCAAATCATGTGATTGCCTCACAAAATTATTCTCAAAATTAACGAATTACTGCTCTGAAAGTGAACTGTATTTTATTAACATCTGATCAGTTAATCATTATAGAATCACAGAAAAAAAAAAAGAATACTTATTTTCTTGCTTCGATATAATTTTCATCTAACTGGCATATTAAAACTAAAAGTATTTCCTTTGCAATTTGTGGTCTCTCTCGCTCTTAGTAAAATATATATATTTTTCCATTTGTAATTTTCTGACAATCTCGCTGTTTGAAAAACAGTTTCATATTAATAGTTTTTTTTTACAGTCTTGCTTTTTGAAAAGCAGTTTCACCTCTGTATTTTTCTGACTATTTCGCTCGTTGAAAAACAGTTTCACTTTTCTTAGACTATCTCTCTCTTTGAAAAATGTTTCACCTTTGAATTTGTTTAGTATATTGCTTTTTGAAAAACAGTTTTACCGCTGAAAAACAGATTTACCTTTGAAATTTTTTTTGACTATTTCGCTCTTTGAAAGAAAGATTTACAATTGAAGTTTTCTGACTATCTTACTCTTTGAAAAACAGTTGCTTGCTATATTAAAATGCAATTGTAATGATTTGAGGCGCAGACCTTAACTGAGCAGCAATGGCTAAGTTGTTTAGGTATAGTGCGACTTTAAGGAGCACTCCTCCAGACTAAAAGTCTGAGATTGTCTGCTGCTATGGTAACAAGTGAGAACACATTTCTAATGGGGGTGCAATGGAAGAATGAAGTGTCGATTCATTTACTCACGCCGACCTATGTCGAGATTAAGACAAAACTGTTCACCCCACACCCCTATTCCAAGTGACTTTTCCTCGTAGCCATAGTTCCCGTCACGGCGCGAGACTAATGTCAAGAGGTGTTCTCCTGAAGGCCGCACTATACTGAGGTATCACTTTGGTTCAACTCCTAGCAGCGGCGTGAAGGCCACCCAGCTTCAGATCAATGAGCTTGTCTGGAAAATAAAGGCTGTCTTTGCTCAATACTGACCATATTGATACTGTCAGGTTTTTAATTACGAAATTTTGGATACCTAACTTTCTTATCCCCTTCTCAAAATAGGCTTTTGCTGGAATGATGTACTTCTTGTAGAATTCAGTTATATAAAAATATTACTACAGCAAGTTACGAAATTAGATTCACAAATGATCTTTACCTGAACATACCGCCTTTTTCTCGATTCCTTAAGTAGAGAGAGTCAATCACAATATTTGACTTATCACAATTACTTAGTCAAAGACTAATAATAAGTTCGATCACTTCAATGTTATTTTTATTTTTCGGTATTTCTCTAAAACTAAATGTGCGCGAGTTTTACATCCATTTTCAAATGTCATTCACCCAAGGATAATTTCATTTAAAACTAATTCATAAGAATCATCAACCGATTTTTATTATATAATTAAACAGTTTTCGCTGTAGTTTATTTAAGTCGCACTAAAGCTGAACAAGCTATTGGCGACGGTTTGGGAAGCATCCCTGAGGATGATCCAAACACATGTCATCACAATTTTTATCTTCTGCAGAGGGGATGGCACCCCCACTTCGATAACCCGACGACCTGCACGAGTAGTCGAGCACTTTACGGTAGAACAGTTTAACGAGGACCAATACCCCACACCATCGGTCCTTTCGCAGACTGATCCAAGTGGTCACCCACTCGCATGCCGACCACAGCCAGTGATGCTGATCTTCTGGGAACCGTATCATAATGATCAGTCCACTGCGGAACTTATATAAATAGTTAACAAAACTATTTTGTGTTTAAGACAGATAATTTTTTTTTTACCAAGTCACGACAAATGTTGAATGACAAAATCTAAAGTTTGAAAAGAATAGATTTAAGGTTGAGTTTTTGGAATAATAGAAATTAGAAAAAAAGTACTCTTTTAAAACCTTTATATCTCTTCCTTAGCAGCAAAATAACTTGGGTCCTCATTTGGCCAATATTTATGAATCTCTTGACTCAGTTAGGGTTTAAAGGGCCTTTATTTTTCTGATATTGGTCCTATATAGAATTTTCCGATTACCCGATATTTTAAAGCCCCTTTGCAACCAATATCGGTCCTATATAGAATTTTTAGATTCACCAGATATTTAATATCCATTATTTAGCCAATGATTCTATATTGATGAAAATATGATTGCTAGATTTGGGAGATAAATACTGCGAAGCATTTTTGGTGGAATAAGTAAAAACGTTACCTGGTTTAGAAGATCAAACACAGAACTTTACAAAGCATATAAAGAACCTGATGTCATTAAATTTATCAAATCTCAAAGGATTAAATGGGCCCGGCCACATTATAAGAATGGAGAGGATAGCAGGACAAGCAAAAAAGTGTTCAGTGCCAGGCCAACAGGTACAAGAAGAGGACGACCAAACCTAAGATTTTTAGACTGCCTTGAAAAGGACCTACAAATTTTAAAGATAATAAACTGGAGAACCTTGGCTAAGGGAAGAATTTCTCTGCATAGGCTTGTTGAGAAGGCCAAGGCCCATCCTGGGCTGTCGTGCCAATGAGAAGAAGAAGAAGATTCTATATTGACCAATGTATAGGCCATTCTAGAACCAGTATTAAAAAATCTAGACAGCCCAATATTGGTCTCTGTGTGCATGTTCTCATAGGACCTATATCGAGCCAATTTTGAACCCAATTGAGGCCAAGGTAAAATTGTAGGGACCATTTTACCTTGTGCATAATAGTACCTCCCTGGCAATATAGTACCTATATTGCTAGGGAGGTACTATTTAGCCAATTTAATAAAAATTTGAGATTATGTTATTGAAAACCATGTTGTTTATCATTAATTGAAACATTTTAGTTTGCAATAAATAAAAATATATACAGACCTAATTGTAGTTAAATATGTTTCTTTTTTTATAGTACCATTTCTAAAACACAGTATTAAACTACAGATAATTTCCTGTAAAGAAAATAAATAATAATAATAAATAACTTCTAATAATCATTAAGAAAAAAAAAAGACTAGGATATATTGTTAATTTAGTCCAACGTTGTTATCTTTTTAATAAAGTAATTCCTGTCCTGTAAATTTGTTTTATCAAAATTAAACCTTGTTTCGCTCGTCTTAAGAAAGTTTAGACTTTCTTTTTGTGCTTGTCGCATCTTATCTTTAAAAAATAAAAAAATAGGGTCAAATACTCAGACACATAAATCATTTTGCCTACTGTTCTATCCTTAAAAATCACATCAAATGCCAAAAATTGACAGCCACATACAAGAAAAAAGAACTTTTTTTAATCACCTCACACAGTGATGAAACTGTCAGTTCTTAAAAAAATTCTAATTTAGTCAAAACATGTACGACTAACCGCCAACCTACGCATTGGTGAAAGAAAAAAAATTAAATAGAGAATAATTTTTCTAACTCTATAAGAAAGAATCAACAGCAATTTATCACTGTCAAACGGTTAATGAAAAGCGGTCCGCCAAATTACACCTCATCTGTCATTTGTTTAGACAATTTTTCCTCTTCAATCTTAGTTCAGTTTTTTTTTCTTTCTTTTTACGTCCGCCAACTTTGAACGTGCTGGCATTCTCCGTTCGTAAAATCATAATTCTTCCTTAAATCATATTTCTAGTTGAAACGCGAGAGACTTATCTTGAGTAATAAGTGCTCGTCGTTTAAATATTCGAACGTTTTTGGAGGAAAATCGAGAAAGCTCCTTTTTTTTCTTCTTTTCTCTTTGATTGGGAAAAGTTGATTGCCGTGTTTTAAGAGCTTAATCAATAAAAATTTTGATTGATAGTCTAATTCCAGGAAAATTCCATTATCGGCGTAAATTTATTATTAATAACAATATGATTATGCTTATTAAATTTTTCGGTTTTTTGGAATTATTATGATTTGACAGGCATGGTCAAGAATAATTTTACATGAGAGGAAATTTTAGATCTGAGTAATTTATTAAAGAAAGTAATTACGCTTTAGATTCCTTAATTAATGCCTATCTATCTATCTATACATATATGGGAAAAGGCAACGGCCGTAACTAAATTAAAAAAACATTTATTAACATCAGGACAGAACGCATATTAATTATTACAAAAGAATAGGCCTTCTGCCTCGTCAGCCTTCAATCACATTCGCTGCCCGGGAAGAACAAGAATGCCCATCTAACCACTGTTTAGTTAAAGGGTTAGGGTGCTCTCAAAGCTGACGAGGCAGACCTATTCTTTAGTGTTAATTAATATGTGTTCAGTCCTGATGTTAATAAATATTTGTTAATTTAGTTATGGTCGTTGCCTTTTTCCATATATATTAGGGGTGTAATTAAAATTAATTCCAAGCTGGAGTTGAACCACAAATTATAATCACGATTATAGGTAATCATATTTCTGATTAATTTCAAATGAGCAACTATACAGTGGGGCCAAAACGAGACCCGTTACTGAGGACATCAAAAATCGAAGATGGACGTGGATGGGACACATTCTGCGAATGCTTGCCACTGAATGTCCTCGTGGTAGCCCTCACCAGAGGGACAAAGGAAGGGAGGAGGACCGAAACTAGCATGGCGAAGAATGATAGTGGGGTGGGTTGGATGGTCTAGCTTGAGCTTGGCTAGGGAAGCTAGACAGCAAGCATTGGAGGACGTAACTTAAAGCCTTATGTGGTAGACTACAGTAAAAAGGTCTTGATGCTGATATTTTTTTATTACAATTTTATCATGATTGCTCGGAATTACGGTTTGTTTAGCACACTAATAGGTGACGCTTGCATCGTGTCCAACCATTCCTTTTGAACAACTGTGCAGGTAAACTGTACGGCCAGCTCTGTGTCTTTAAAATATTCAAATTTAACAAATCGCCCGCCACGTACGAGATACTGTCAGTGATGCGTTTTTAGACGGGAAAAAACCTGTTTGCTGACCATACACATTCACTGGCAGATTTGTGAAGTTACTATTTGCAAAGTAGCAAAATTCTCTGCCATACTGACAGGGAATTTTACTGCTCTATGACAACGACTCTCTCCGCAGCTCCGATCCTAGCTTTATTGGACTCTTTCTGTTGGGAAGTTTTGAGCTACCCCTCCCTACAGTTCAGACATTGCGCAGAGTGATTTTCATCTTTT